ATGAGAAAGAAACTCAAAATAATTCCACCTTGGTTTTATTCTAAAATGGCAGACAGAGATACTCAAAATAGGCTTTCAAGATTCCCTTATTATAGCTTAACCAGGGATCCACAATCTCCAAGCCAAGAACCAGCACCAATCTGCAGCCTGCCAGCAACTGGGACATGTAAGCAAGCGGCGTCATCCATGTACACACAGGATTCAGGTAGCATGTGAAACCACACTCCCCTGATCCGTGGAAAACCTGCCCTCCAAGGAACCAGTCCCTGACACCCAAAAGGTTTAGGGGATGCTGACTTAAACAATAAAGTATCAATTATGGAATGTGGTTTTTGTTTTTTGACCAGGCCAGAGGTGGTATTCAGCAGATTCTGACCAATTCTGGAGAAATGGTAGTGGGAATTTTGAGTAGTTTGGAAAACCGGCAATTACCACCTCTGACTGGCCCTGCCTCCATCTATTCTCTGCCTCCTGAGTCCCAGCTGATTGGCTGGGTCTTCTTTGGTTGCCCTGCACAGGAGAATGGAGGTAGAAAGCAGGTTAGTGGGATGGGGAGGGAATGGGATTTTGCAGTAATCTTCCCCCTGGAGTGGGGAGGGAATGGAGATTTTGTAGTATTCCCCTGCTGCTCCCACCAAGCCATGCCCACAGAACCAGAAGTAAAAAAAAAAACCTGAATCCCACCACTGGACCAGGCCTTCCTTGCTTCAATGCTTCTTTTCTCCATTCCCAGGAGAAACCTTGCCAAGAGGTGAAATCAAAGGATACGATAATCCCCAATTAGCAGTCATTTACCAGTGCTCTCTCCCAGCCTCCAGAGTTTTTCGGTACCCTCTAAGGCATCTTCCAATTGGAACGTAAAAGGTTCTGCGTATGGATAGGAGTCTCTGTCCTCAGCTTCTATATGAAAAGGACCCGTTTCATTTCCCTCACAGATGGTCAAGGATGTTGTAACTAGCATTGGAGCATTGTCATTCAGGTCAGAAAGGTAAAGTTGAATGGTACCCGTGCCAGTTAATGGTGGAACACCTGAGAAAAACAACAACAATATTTAGATTTTTTTTAAAAAAAGAAAAAAATACAGAAGCAGGACAGAATCTTCAAATTGAGACAGAACTATATAATTTAGACTACATAATTTGGTTTGCATGCAGTTCTCAAAAATCATGGAAGAAGCTGTAAGTTGCCGCCTAGTTACAATATAGTACAGGGGTATCAAACTCAAGGCCTGGGCGGGGCTGGATGCAGCCCACCAGGTGCTTAGATCTGGCCCACAGGGCTGCCCTGGAAACAGAGCAAAAACAGAGACCGCGGTGCCTCTGCCAGCAAAAACAGAGCTCGGGAGGGCCGCATGGAGGCCATCACAACTGAAAAAGGAGCCCCCGACACGAGTGACATCAAGCGGGCCATGCCCACCCTGGCCCCCCGAGATCAAACACAATGCTGATGTGGCCCTCAATGAAATCAAGTTTGATACCCCTGATATAGTACAAGAGGAAAACAGTCAAATATATGGAGACATTCATCATCATCATCATCATTCTAGCCATTGTCTTATCCACTGCAGGATGAAAGTCTCTCCTACATATTGCCAACCAATATGGTCCTGAGCTTTCTTTTGCCAATTGGACCTGCAATATTTGCTGATGTCACCGATCCATCTTGTTTTAGATCTCTTTTGTGGATGCTTTGTATCAAGTGGGATCCATTCTAAGACTGCCTTGGTTCACTTGCCATCACCTGCCATCAATTCTTCTTAACAGGGACATTATTTACATTTGAATCAATACATTAAACAGTGTAAATCCAACTATGTCATATATAGATTTTTTCCCTCTGCCTCCTCCTCACATTTCTTTTTTCCTCTTTTGGTCTTATCTGTCTTTTGAGCCCAACACAAAACCTGGAAGGTAAAAGTAGTTTTGAAAAAATGTAATGCACCACTGAATGTGATGATGGATTTTAACTATTATGGTAGACATCTGACCTCCTCAGCAAACTTTCCACATCACTGTCTTTGAGAGGCCATTTCTATTATCAATATAGAAATCCTATGTGTTCTAAAAGTCCTCATTCATCATCCCAACCGGGCATCTTTCAAAATAAATGGACAGTTCAGTGGCCAGAGTTGAACTAGTTTCAAGAAATGGTTTATGACAGAAAAGCATTTTAAGACAGATTCTCATCTTTAAAATATATGGAAGAAACCCTTATCGCTTTGTTCGTATTTTCCTTTGTAGGTATTTAAAGCATCCTATTATTTTTAACAACAGCAATAAAAATAAACTCCTCCATCTTCGTAAAAAAAAAGTTGAACTGATTAAATGATTCAAATCCAAATAATACCCTAAATTTCTTGACCTATTACATGCATTACATAGTGAAACATACATCCAACCTTCTACAAATAGGAACGCAAACATCACAAATATAGCGGTGTTTCCTATGGGCTAGGGAACACTTGTATAATGTCTAGAAAAGGCTACCTCTGAAAAAGATACTAGCATCACAGCTTTTACAGCACACATAGAGAAAACCAGTTCCAAAACTGTATTAGGACGACTTTGGGATGACTTTGAATTCTTGCTGAGCTTTTACCTTGCCCAAACTCAAGAACTCACAAATAAACGAAGAGAATGGACTTACCATCATCAGTGGCATGAATCACAACGGTGTACGTGTTGTTGTTCACAAATGGGGATTCTCTGTCAAGAGTTTTTGCAGCTGTCACAATTCCAGAATTTTCATCGATCGTCACCCAACCAGCTGGATCTGACACTACTTTATATCTTTTAAAAAGCAAATGTTTGAAACATGAGTGGTAAACAAAGAATGTTAAAGAACAGATCAATAAACTTTTAATCTTAAAAATAAAGTTTCTCTGAAAAAAGTCTACTGTATAATTATGAGATTTAATTTCCCATGCAAAAATTAAGGGACCCCAAGGTGTTTTTTCAAGACGCAACTGGACTTTCTGGTTTTTCTTTAAAGATGTTTCACTTCTCATCCACGAAGCTTCTTCAGCTCTGACTGGATGGTGGGGAATGGAAGGATTTATACTCCTTTGTATACAGTTGGTCATTCGCATTCTTTTAGCAACTGAGATTATATTTAGTACATCATGGCTTCAAAATCTAAGGGACTGCTTTGGACAAAACCCAACAGCACTTTTTCGTGCGGCTATTGATAAAAATAGGATCACCAACATCCAATGACAGATATGGCACAAGAAGAGGAAGAAGCAACTGAGAATTTCCATAGATAAGAATTATGGGAGTTGGATTCTAGCAATATCAACAGCACGACATTGTTTCCTAACCTAATCAAATCTGAAATTTTTAGTGATATTATAAAGGATCCTTTCATCTTACTCAAATATAAAACTGATAAACTTAACAAGCTGAAATTGGCAAATTCATCCCACTTGTAAATCATTAGGTCCACATGATTTGCTTTGAAAAGTTGAACATCCCTCCCCCCAAAATGCATGTTGTTTTGATGTTTTAGTTAAAAAGTGATGGTGATTATAATGATTGGTGCTCCTTCTGTCAAAAAGTAACTTAAGTTTGGCAAAACTACTTGAAAAATTAATTCTGTGCTTGAATTTCAGCCATTGAAAAAAACTAGGATCATGAAGATTTTGTGCTAAGGAGTAAATTTATGAAAGCTACTTCAAGAGATCTCCAGCAACATTGACAGAGGAACACCAGCCATGAACACTTACTTTATTTTGTGTTGTCCTGTGTCTGGATCCTGAGCTTCATATTGTACAAGTTTGGTTCCTGGCATCACCCCTTCTTGTTGAGAAAGTTTAAGAATTGGAGGATTGAACTGAGGGGCATTGTTTTCATCAGTGATATTAATGCTCACTGACACTTCAGGCAATTGTGGAGAAGCATTCGTGTTCACAAAGCCTCTCTGGCATATAAAGAAGGACTCTTCATTCTTCACAACAATGAGAAGTCTTCTCTCAGAAGGTGTACTGTAGACCAAAGGCTAATAAAAACAAAAAAAGTTTCCGTTAATACATTCTGACTATTCTTGTACCTTTCCAAATAGGATACTATCCAGAAGAGTGGCATTGCATGTCCCACGGTTAATATAGTAGTGAAGTGACTCTAGAAATCTTATCTCTATGTTTGTCAGCCTGCCTTACCTTGATAACACTTAAAACACCTTCATTAGTTTTGGGATCTGTCACAATGGCAAAGTTTCCTCTTTCATTTCCTTTCTTTATGGTATACTCAGCTCTCCAAGCAGGTGTATTAGGACTATCTTTGTCTTCCACCTTGAGGCGAAGGATATTATCTTTGGTTTTACCTTCTGGGATGTCTGCATAATACTTGGAAAACAAAGAAAGAATTCTCTGATACCTAAAATATAAAGACTCCACCTCACAAGGGATTATGGGGTCATAAAAGATTATGATGATGAGTAGTAATCTTAAACAACTTACATTTTCTTGAGTGAATACAGGCAAATTGTTGTTAGAATCTTCCATGGAAATATTGATTGTTGCAGTTGACGATAAGGATGGAGAACCACGGTCTGAAGCCCTAATCACAAGTCTGAAATTCCTATTGGTCTAAATGACAGTAAAGTTTAAGAACAGGATTTTTTTTACCAAAATAAATTTGACATTATCCTTAACCTTTGGAAAAAATATAAAATAAGAGTGTGGTTTGTGTAACTCCTCCCTAAAAATGCAGTTCTCCGAATAATAATGATAGAGTGGTAAAATATAAGATGGTGATTAAATAGACTACATGAGATGCTAGAGTTTAATGCACAAAGTCTCTGTTCTGTCAAATAGCTAAGAATCGCTTTGATTCATCTATCAAAGTATCCGTTACATGCATTCACTCTGAAATATATTCTGTATCTGCATGATATTCTATAGCCATAAGTTTAAACTCCAGTGAAGAACCCGTTGTGTTAGGCAAATTGGAATGTTATCTTGTAACATCTGTATAAATAATATGCATTTTAGCCTCTTATCTTGCAAGAAGATTTGTATGCCAGACATTGGTGTTTACCTCTTATTTTATCTTCCAACTCACATTGTGAAGTTGGGTCAGCTAGGAGAAAATAGATCAATATAACTCGGTGATTTGCTAACGTGCAGTTAAATTTAGCCAAGTTCCTGGCTCCAAATACCAACTCTATCCACATTCCTTCAATTTACCGTGTCATTAAACTGTTCATTCGTAATACTCCTAAAAGCTAAGATGAGCATTTGGTTTAAGGTGATGGATTAACATTAGCAATTCAGCTACAAGACTGGAAGACAGAATCAACAAGCACTGGTGACAGACAAATTTTATTGGATGGTTTTACTGGAAAGTATGCATGCCAAGATACAGATCTCAGGTAAGCATCATTGTAAGTTTGTTTGTAAGGACTGTACCTCATAATCCAAGCATTGTGTAATGTATATTAAGCCACTAGTGGAATCAATGGTGAAAAGAAGAGGCTTTAGTTCAGGGGTTTGTGAGACCAGGCAAAATACCACTTCAGAATTTGCAGTGTCTTCTTGGTCCTTATCCACTGCTATGACTTTGAAAACAGGTTCCTCTGCAACAGTGAAAATTGAAGCATATTACAATATTGTGCACTAGCTTGATACCCATGCTTCGCTACAAAACTATGTGCTTGGGCTTAGTTTTGGGGGAGGAAAATAAGGGGGGGGGAATTCTGCCTCTGCCTACCAGCATCCATCAGTATTCATCTGGCTGGCATCCTGTCAGTGTGTGAGACAGTTGAGAGCTGTTTGGAAACTGAAACAGTATTTGCTGTGTGAGCAAGAAGGAGACAGCAAGGAGCCTGGGCGTGGATTAGCTCAACTGTTCTGTACTAAAGCTGCTTGGTGCTGTGAAACTGAAACTGAAACTGAAACTCCTCTCCTCTGCTTGTGTTTTGCATTTGGAACAGACTTCTTTTCAGGTGGAGAGGGGGAGTAGAACTCCTAAGCATCACAGCGTGTTAATAATAATATAGGAAATACTAATGCCCTGATGGTCATTTTGAAAAATCCTTTCTTAGTGAGCACCTAGAAGCCAAGAGGAACATAGTGCCAAATTTCAAGTTTGTAGGCTTTATGATTCTGGAGATTTTGTGATGATACATGAGTGGTATTTCACTTTTATATATATATAGATTTCACTGAGATCTATGGACAGAATATGTATTTTCGAGTGTATATCACAAGGAAATCACCCATACCTAGTGTTTCTGTCCAGAAAAGGTCACCCTCTACCCATATTTGCCAGCTAGACAATCATCTAGCCTTAGCTCTTACTAGACAAGGATATGATGTGAAGAAAATAAAACATTAATCTCCTTTTTTCCCTTCTTCAGAAAGGGCTGCAAGGACAAATGGATGGGCTTTATTACAGGAAAAGCCCAACAGCTTAAAATATGTGGACCAAGGTTCCATATACAATATACAATAAAAATTAATTATAATTCATTCAATTAATACCTTAAAACAAAACAAAAAAGATGGGAGTAAGGTACAATAATTGAAGATGGTGAATTTTGAGTATGAAAATTCCAGCTGATTCTAGTGGCATTTGATACCAACAGAAACAGGGTTAGCCATTTCAGCTGTATTCCTGGAAACATTAAGTGTACTGGACACTTACTAAAAAGTGCATTGTTGTTTGTTGGTGGCAATATGAATATTTTGCTATCAAAGGGGTTATTCGATTCTGCTTTCTGACTCCAGGGATGATAGATTGGACAAGCTGGACATATATGCGTAGCTATCTCAGATTCAGTACTAAACAGATACGCAGTTGATTGTGGAAAGGATCTTGGTTATGTCTCCTTGTTAAATCAGGAAATAAATAAGATGTATCTTGAAGCATGCACCTGAATGATGCATTCAATTGCATACTCCCTGTGGGCTCTCAGTATTGATCATGTATTACTGTTGCATTTGTAAGTGGAAATAAAAAAGAGGAAAAATGTAGACTTCATCAAAAGGGACTTTACATTGTACTGACAGTGAAAAAATCCTGGAAAGTACAAAAACAATGAGTGAAGCAGCAAGAAAGGTTCAAGAAACCATATGTACAATGGACAATACAGGACAGTAGAATTCCTCTTCCAGGGTCTCCTTCCAACATGGAGTGGAGGGAGAGGAGAGGAGAGGAGAGGAGAGAGGTTCAAATTGAGATAAGGTCAGGTGAGGTGAAGTGAGGTGAGATGAACTGAGGTGAAAAAAAGAACATGTTTTAGTTCTAAACTGGAAAACTTTGTTCAACCTTCTCTCAGGGCAGTGGCATGACATAATACAGGGTTGAGTTTAGTCTAAAAAAATAGTGAAACTAGAAAGTATATGTAATGTATATGAGGATGAATGTATTTATTTATGTATATTGTGAGACATCTCCTCAGATTTTGTTACATAGATCCCAACATAGCCAAGAAAAGAAAAACATGTAAAATCGATATAAAAGTGAAAACAATGGACCCCGTTTTACCTGATACTGCCCAAATTTTCAAGGATACTCACTTTTGTTGTGATTTTCTTTTATATTAATGTTAAATTCCTTTTGGAGAAATTCAGGAGCATTGTCATTTATATCTTTAATCTGAATGTTGAAGAACAAGGAACTGTCTAGTATTGCTCCAGTCTTTCTATCATGAACATCAAAACGTATCTAAATAGTAGATAGTCGATAAGAAAATTAGGTTAAAAGTGATAAGACAAAGCAAAAATTATTTTTGTTGATAATAAAGACAGACAAGCTTTCGATCACTGGGAGCCATATTAAGTAGTTCAAATGAAGGGGAGCTATATATGTGGGTATGGCCTTGATTTGTCAAAAGTTGTTGAATTCAGAGGGGAGATTTAAAAATCTGTGTTAAGCCTCCAAGGTATATCAGGGGACTGTGCTTTAAAGTATAATCAATAGAGTAATTGAACTTACCAGTCCCAGCCTTCATGATTAGGTTTCCAATCTCAAATACCTTGAAGCCATTAGTTTGGGGAGAATTATCATGAGTTTAAAAGCTCAGCATACAAGGGCTGAGTTTTAGATGAGTTAGATGAAATCAGATGACAATCATCATCCTTTTTGCTATATATAAAATCTAGCCTCTTCAGTTTTTTCTCCTAAAACTCACAGTTTACATACTATGTCTATAATCTTTAACTGGGTGAAACAGTGCCTCATACAGCAAATCTTTTTAAACCACAACTCCCATGGAATTGAAATTTGGCAAATGTTATAAAATATTTTATGATATAAACATTACTGTTCTATAATGCATTTTATGACATAGTGCAAAGTGTAATCAAACATTTCCTGTGGTCAACTCCTAACATTCAATTGTGCTATCCAGTTAACCATGGACTACTTTCATGGCAGATATATCTCTAAATGTCTCCCTGGATTTTTAAGAAGTTTTTAAATACTTTAAAAGCTCTGCCACTGTTGAAGGCATTGAGGTAAGAAAATATGTCTGAAAGGATGACCATGGGTTGCCTACTCCATGTAAATAGCAACAGATTGGCTGTTTTTCAACTATCCTTACAAACTATGCTACCTTTAAAAATCAAGTTTAAGAAGGTACAAAATAATGGGTACAAATGAAATGAAAAACAGTACAGACCAGGAATACTTCCTTCGTAACTTAGTAGCTGGACAGTAGCATGTGCAAGCAAATTGATTATGTACTAAGATATAGTCTTGTTATATAATTATGAAATGAACTATGGAAAACTATTTCCTTTTTTCCCGTGATCAATTAGTAACTATCTTAGAAAATGATCCTCTAGAACAGAGGTGTCAAACTGGCAGCCTATGGGCCAGATGCATAGGCCATGCCCACCCCAGCTCTGCAAAGGGGAAAATGTCAAGATAATGTGACCATGACGGCAATGTGACGCCACAAGTTTGACACCTATGCTCTAGAAGTTGACAAAAAATTATCTTTTAAAATCTTAATCTCACTTGCAGGTCAATGATAAGGATGCTAATAACTGGAATGAGCAGGGGTGAGCTGCTGGGAGTTCACAGGGGTTCAGGAGAGCACCTAGTTAAGATTCTGTGCAGTTCAGAGAAACCCCAAATCCCACTCCTGACTGGCCCCACCCTGCCCCTGCCAGGAATCACCACACGGCCTGCTTTGGATGCAGGTAAGTGCAGGGTACATGTAGAGGCTTGGGGAGGGCGAAAAATGGGCCTCCCAGAAGTTCAGGAAGGCCGGAAATGGGCTCGTCTTTGGCTTCCAGAGAGCCTCCGGAGCCTGGGGAGACTGTTTTCGCCCTCCTGGAGGCTCAAGGAAAGCCCCCGGAGCCTGGGGAGGGCAAAAACGCCCCCCCCGCCATGCCCACCATAGCCATGCCACCCAGCAACCAGGTAGAGAACCTTTTGCTAAAATCTTTGAAGCCCACCCCTGAGAATGAGGTAATGTTGTCACCATAATTGAACACTTAGCTCTTCAGTGATTTGAATAGAGAATTTTTGTTTGTTTGAAACAGGAAATGTATTATTGCTCCTGTTTTATTTTTGAGGTTAGAAACAACCACATTTGACCTTTAAGGATAATTAAGCAAACCCATGTTTAGCTCTTTTTCTGTTTGTTTGACACACGTTGGCTGAACAAAAGGTCAAAACCAACATTTATTAAGATATAAAGGTTTGCCAGAAGGCAAAATGTTGACACCGGTCAACAGGCATACCCTACTGCATAACTACTGCAAAATTACCCCACTAAACAAACTCTTGAAAATTAACTCCTAGGAATTATTGACCAACCCAAGATGAAATAATAGAAAATATTTCCATTGGGAGAGAAGTCAGGAAATTGTTCAACCATTTCTCAATTCAGGGTGAGGTATCCTCGTTATGCTGATGATACCCACTTCCATAACCCTACCCAGGCCAATCTGTAGATGCCAGGAAAGTCCTGAATTGATGGTTGGAAATTTTGAGGATTTGGATAGGGTAAAAATAAATTCAGATAAAATCTCTGCAAGATGAAGCTGCTGTTCATACACACACACAAAAAACAGTACCCAGCAACACTTTTTAGTTGTTCTGGATGGGAGTTGCAATTCTTCTAAAGGAGCTGGCCTGTAACTTGGGAATCCCTAGGATTTTCACTTTATGCATAGGCAGCAAATGAAGACCAAGGGTTAGGGAGATCTTCACTCTGCTTTGGCTGATACAGATAATCCTCGACTTACGACCACAATTGAGTCCAAAATTTCTGTTGCTAAATGACACATTCATTAATTGAATTTTGCTTCATTTTATGACCTGTCTTGCCTCAGTTATTAACTGAATCACTGCAGCTGAGAAGTTAATAACCCAACTGTTAGGTTAGTTAGTTTACTTTATTGGTGAGCCCTTGGGTCATATCAAAGTACAGACTTCCAGACACAAATGATGACTAAAATATGATAAAAACAATTTAAATTGAAGTAAAATATGATTTAAAATGAAATTGGTATAATATACAGTTTAAAAAGAAATTGGACCAGTTGTTAAATGAATCTGGCTTCCCCATTGACTTTGCTTGTCAGAAGGTCGCAAAAGGAGATCTTTGGGACACAGCAACAATCATAAATATGAACCAGCTGCCAAGCATCTGAATTTTGATCACATGATCATGGAGATGCTAGAAAGGTCGTAACTGTGAAAAACAGTCATAAGTCACTTTTTTGAATGCCGTTGCAACTTTGAACGGTCGTTATGTTAATCGGGAATTGAATCATTCTAATGACAGCCTTGAGGAAACCTGTGTACATTTGGCATCCTTACCTCAATAGGCCTTCAGAGTCGTGGAAATTACCTCAGGAAACACCCAATGCCCCTGGGGTACCACCACCCAATATCCTTGAAAGACCTCCAAGGGAGGTGCTTGTGGTACTTGTCTGCTTCTTTATTGTATCTATAGATAACAGATAATCAGAGTTGGAAGGGACCTTGTAGGTCATCTAGTCCAACCCCCTACCCAAGCAGGAGACCCTACACCATCTCTCACAAATGGCAGTCCAATCTCTTCTTGAAAGTCTCAAGTGATGGTGCCCCCACAACATCTGAGGGCAAGCTGTTCCATTGGTTGATTGTTCTCACTGTCAGAAAGTTTCTCCTTATTTCCAGATTAAATCTCTCCCTGTTCAGTTTCCATCCATTATTCCTTGTCTGGCCTACAGGCGCTTTAGAAAATAGCTTGACCCCTTCCTCTCTTTGGCAGCCCCTCAAATATTGGGAGACAGCTATCCTGTCTCCCCTGGTCCTTCTCTTCACTAGACTAGCCATGCCCAGTTCCTGTAACTGTTCTTTGTATGTTTTAGTCTCCAGTCCCCTAATCATCCTGGTTGCTCTTCTCTGTACTTTTTCTAGGGTCTACAGTATAGAATGTAACCTTCTCTGTATAATGAAGTAAACAGCAAGCATACAAATATGAGTGTCACCGTGACTTCAGGGTTCCCTCTTGCTTTGAGGAGCCCATTTTTATTCAGCTGAATCAAAGCTTACTGAGGCAAATACCTGGACTTTGTCTTTATTCCTACAGAGCCATACCTGAAACTGGCAAAACAACTAAATGAACTGTTGTTAATTGAGGACTACTGTGCTTCATTATGGCCCTACATAGCCCAAATTGATCTGCCAACACTAACTCATGCCATAGTTACTACTGAATTGGACTATTCTTACACAATCAACCCAGTCACTGCTACGCAGTGGTTAACCTGCTGGCCGCCATTTCAATGCAGAAGATGAATTCTTAAGGTTGCTGCATGGTGATTAAATAGATTTCTAGGCCCAAATCATGTTGATCCATACCTTTAAAGCCTCACATAATATGATGCTGGGTTATACCAGGCAATATACTGACAAAATAAAATCTGCCTTCCCTGAACAGTCATCATACGAATGCCTCTTGAGAATACCCCTTCTATGTCACATATATGGAACAAGATATAAAACTTGGGCATGTTGTGATCGGCTGAAGAGAAATTTGCACTAGTTGGGATTCCTTTGGAATGTTGTTTTTTTCAATTAACTGAAGGATTTTGTTCAGAGTTCTTCAAGACTGAAACAGATGAAAAACACTATAAAATATATAAGTACTGGAAAAGAGGGCGTCCTCTCTCGATCTATGGAATGATGCACATATACAAGGCCTCTGGCATCATCCTCGATAGAAAACAATCCATATTCCGGAAATTCATCCACACCAGGTCCACTAATTGAATATTTTATGGATGTATTTTGGGATGCTTTATTGAAGAGCTACAAACAAAACAGATTGGAAATATTAGGTAAGATTTCTAAGTATTCTTAACTCTTCTAATTAAAAATCATTACTATTATTAGTATGACCTACTACTACTGCTACTATTACTACCACCTCGGGGCACATATAGGATGAAGAAATATTTTTGGCAATAGAGATTATACTTGAAGCTGCCTTTTTGCTTTGCAGCTTGTTACCTTTTTGTTTATTTATTTTTGAATTGAAAACATGAAAAATAAGTGAATAAATCAGGTGAACCTGATGGTCATGAAGAAAATATGCTGGAGATAATAGATCCCAAATGTGGGACCGAGTCATCAATTCCTATGTGCCTTTATTTGCTGTTTATTTACTTTGGCCTCACTATCAGCAATGCTCAATAGTAGAGAGAAAAAAATGTTGGTAATGCTAAGAAGTCAGCATTTTCATTTTTACCTCTCCAATCATTTTGGGGAAGGGTCCTCTGCCTTCTTCTTCAAGTTCAATAGTAGTAATCACCCATCTCCGTTTTGTACGACGCAATGGACGCAAACTACTGGAAGGATCCCAATCCTATGAATGAAACAAGTAAACACAAGGACAGCTTTTCCCCCCCAACTAATTACCACAACCTATACTCTGTCTTATATTCTAAAATGTGAAAACATGTAAAAGGGCTGTATTACTATTATCCTTCTCATCTTTCCTATTAACAATTCCTTTAGCATCTTATGACTACAACTTTGTTGTTTGTAGAATAGAACTGAACTGAACTGAATTGAATTGAATTCTTTATTGTCCAAGCGTGATTGGACACACAAGGAATTTGTCTTGCTGCATATGCTCTCAGTGTGCATAAAAGATACATTCATCAAGGATCATAACTTAATAATAGTCATAGGATATGATAAGCAATCAAATCATACTAGGAAACAGTCAATATAAATCGTGAGGATACAAGCAACAAAGTTACAGTCACAAGTGGAAGGGGATGGGTGATAAGGAGTCATGAGAAGAATGACAGTAATAGTAATGCAGACTTTTTAAATAGTTGGACAGTGTTGAGGGAATTATTTGTTTAGCACAGTGATGGCATTCGGGGGAAAAATTGTTCTGTTGTGCAGTGCTCTATAGCGTTGTTTTGAGGGAAGGAGTTGAAACAGTTTATGTCCGGGATATGAGGGGTCTGTAAATATTTTCACAGCCCTCTTTTTGACTCGTGCAGTATACAGGTCCTCGACGGAAGGCAAGGGGGTAGTAATTGTTTTTTCTGCAGTCCTAATTATCTGAAGTCTGTGTCTGTCCTGTTGGGTTGCAGAACCAAACCAGACAGTGATAGAGGTGCAGATGACAGACTCAATAATTCCTCTGCCGAACTGGATCAGCAGCTCCTTGAGCAGTTTGAGCTTTCTGAGTTGGCACAGAAAGAACATTCTTTGTTGTGCTTTTTTAATGATGTTTTTGGTGTTAGGTGTCCATTTAATGTGACATGATAGAACGTAGAAATTTGAAGGTCTCTACTGTTGATACTGTGTTGTCTAGTATTGTAACAGGTGGTAGTATGGGAGGGTTTCTCCTAAAATCTACCACCATTTCTACAGTTTTGAGTGTGTTCAGTTCCAGATTGTTCCAGTTACACCACGAGGCAAGTTGTACAGCCTCCCATCTGTATGCGGATTCGTCATTGTCTCGAATGAGACCAATCACTGTTGTATCATCTGCAAACTTCAGTATTTTAACAGATGGATCGTTTGAGATGCAGTCATTGGTAATAGGGAGAAGAGAAGTGGAGAAAGCACACAGTCTTGGAGGGGCTGTGCTAATTGTACAGGTATCAGATGTGATTCTGCCTAGCTACACCTGCTGCTACCTGTCTGTTAGGAATGTTATGATTTATGTTTATTGCTTTTATTTAGTATCCTATAACTATCACTGACTGTTGTATCTTATGATTATTGTATTTTAAGATTATGATCATGACTTATCACTTATTGCTTGTATGTACACTGAGGGCTTATGCACCAGAGACAAATTCCTTGTTTGCCCAATCACACTCGGCCGATAAAGAATTCTATTCTATTCTATTCTATTCTATTCTATTCTATTCTATTCTATTCTATTCTATTCTATTCTATTCTAGCCCAGCCCAGCCCAGCCCAGCCCAGCCCAGCCCAGCCCATTCTATAAGCTATAGAAAACACGGAATCACAAATAGATATAAATCTGGACAGAAAGTCTGCTGCTCAGAAGGAAGGTTGCTGGATAGGTCCTCAACATCAACAGGTAAGGATGGGGAGGAATCTGCCTGCAAACCTGCAGAGATGCTTCCAATAGGGAGCAGCGCTGAGCTAAACAGAAAACTCCATCCATTTCTACACTGATATAGTCACCTTTTCATTATACAATATACTCTAAATCAGAGGTATCAAACTCAAGGCCTGCGGGCTGCATTCAGCTCATGATGCAGTGGTGGGATTCAAATTTTTGTACTACCAGTTCTGTGGGCATGGCTTGGTGGGTGTGGCAAGTGAAGGATACTGTAAAATTTCCAGTCAGAGGTGGTTTTTGCCAGTTCTTTGAACTACTCAAAATTTCTGCTACTAGTTCTCCAGAACTGTTCAGAAACTACTGAATACCACCTCGGCCATGATGTGGTTGAATCCGGCCCACAAGGCCATCCTGGTCTACCCAATGATCAGGCCAACATGGCTTCGGCCCAGTCTATCCAATCTGAAGAGGAGCAATCAAGTCAGCATGGCCTATCCAGCGTGAAGAAGAAAAATCAGGCCAGCGTGGCTTTACATTCTACCCAATGCAAAGAGGAAAGATCGGGCCAGCAGTTTGGGGAGTAATGTCAAGTTGGCCATGCCCACCCAGTTGGCTACACCCAGCTGGCCACACCCTCCCAGTTGGCCATGCCTGCCCGCCCCCCCCCCCCCAGGTCAACCCTGATGCAGCCCTCAATGAAATTGAGTTTGACACCCTTGCTCTAAATGATGTGTGCATGTATAACTGAGGACCTGAAACAAGAGCAGTTATGGATGGTATCTTTCAAGGTGAACTTCGACACATTATTCAAGCAGTTTTCCAGGCAATAGTGAAAATGGCCTCTGTTATTGCCTTCTTCTAGGATAGTTCTTGACTCCCTTAACTAGCCTAATCTTGAGATTCCCTGATGATCTGCCCTGCAAATATTAATTAGGTCCAACTCTTCTCACCACTGAGGCCCAAACAAAGTCAGCCAAGTGCAACCACCTCCTAAGGTAGAAGAAGAGCTGGTATTGTACTCTCTGATGAAGCAAAGGAATTTAAAAACAGCTTCCAAAAGCAGTAAGAGAGTACGTCCTTCAGCAAGATGACATAACTGAGGGAATGGAGCTAGCAACATTCTACTTTTAAAAATAAACCTGTGAAGTTTAAAAATGCAAAATAGATATGTGAAATCTGCTAAGCCTCCATTTTTAATCTTTTGTCAGGGAGCAGACGAGATGAAATGAGGACAACAACAAAAAAATCAAACTTCGCCAAATCAATGGGTTTTGACCATGAATTTTGGGAATAAAAATTAGAAGATTGGGTGTAACTCATAGATCACAGACCTGAAATCTTTTAAAGCTTATCAGCATACTGCCAGAGATTTGCTGGCGGTAATCAATTGCCATGCTAAAGTCGTAGTTCAGAAAGTCATGAGAAAACCAACCATAGTAAACCAACCATCATGTCTGTTTCAGAAAAATAGAACAATTGCACTTTACTGATCCAGATTTCAGATTAAGTTTATCTTTGAGTGAATCTAATCCATATTTTACTTCGGACTACAATGAGTATTCCAGTTCACAGAAACAAGAATGAGATATAATTTTACTATGAGTTTTATTTCACCTTTCAAATGAATGTGCTTTACTGAAGAATTTAATAGTGTACCCACCTGCTTGCTTCTCTTGGGTTGATTCTTATGTACAATGATGTCATTGCCCAGGGTGTAATGGATGTTATGGATGGCAAGAACCTTAATGGACAAGAAAAAGAACTAAGGTAAAAATGCTACTATAGCAAAGGTGGGCCTAACATCAAGACCTATCATGAGAAAATAAACAAGCCAACTCCATACATGACACTACACCACGTGTGTGTCTATTTCTCTGTTCCATTGAGTCTCCTTACTGAACCAACCCAGGATATTTAAATTTTAATAAATATTTAATATTAATATTTATTACAATTAATATTAATATTAATGTTAATATTTTAATCATTGGAAAAGTAACTTATTACCAGGGGTAGGATTCTACCAGTTCACACCAACTCTATAGAACTGGTTGTTAATGTCACAGGTAGTTCTTAGAACTGGTAAAACCAACCCCTGGCTGGCCCCGCCCCCTCTGCTGCTCCTATGGGCCAAAACCCTGAGTTTTTTTTACTGCGCATGCACGACATTTTTGCGCATGCGCTGCAATCCTTGCCTCATTTTCTCCCTTGACCACCCCTCCCTTCACTGGCCCTGGCCCCGCCAATCTCCGCCACCCCTACACTCCAAAACTCAGTCTTTTTTACTATGCATGCATGACATTTTTCGTGCATGTGTGGCAATCCTTGCCTCATTCTCTCCCCCACCCGCCCCTCCCTTCACTGGCACCACCCCTGCCACTCTCCGCCACTCCTATGCTCCAAAAACCATTTTTTCTACTTTGCATGTGCATGACTCCTTGCCTCATTCTCCGCCGCCCGCCCCGCCCCACCCCTACTTATAGCGCATATGCGCTACCTACAAAAATTTTCCCACCCAGTGCTCACAACAGCAGCAGCAGCAGCAGTGCCAGACAGCCAGACAGCCAGACAGACAGCCGTCACTGCCTGCCTTCTGCCGCCCTGCTGGAGCAAGCTGCAAACCCCAGTCACCACCATCGCTAACCACCCTCACCCGGCCAGACTGCCTCCCAGGCCCTGCCTTGCCCGGCCTGCCTCCCAGGCCTGCCTGCCTGCCTGCAGTTAAAGAAGACGTAAGGCCCGGCCACTGCTGCCGTCACTAGCCATCCTCACCCGTCCAGACAGCCTACCCCGGCCTCCAAAGATGCAGATCAGTAAGTATGACCCAGTCACCTACCTGCCGCCACCAGCCCTGGTCGAGTGCCAACTCCCAGGACTCCCACCACTCTCGCCAATGCTCCCTGCCTCATCCGCTGCCATCTTCCCTTGCCCATGGCCCTCCATTGTTGCTGCCTTGCCTTCCCACCACTGATTGGTGAGTGAGGAGGCAAAGCAGCAAGCCCCGTGCTGCCGGTCCCCTACCTCCTCCTGCCACTACTGCCATCACTGCCGCCAGCACTGGTTGAGTGCCAACTCCTGGGCTGGCCACCGCTGCCTCACCCACCTGGCAGCCGCCATCTTGGCTAGGCTGGCTGGTGGCCACCATCTTGGCTAGGCTGGCCGGCAGCCACCATCTTGGCTAGGCCAGCTGGTGGCCGCCATCTTGGATAGGCCGGCCGGCGGCCACCATCTTGGATAGGCCGGCCGGCGGCCGCCATCTTGGATAGGCCGGCCGGCGGCCGCCATCTTGGATAGGCCGGCCGGCGGCCACCATCTTGGATAGGCCAGCCAGCGGCCGCCATCTTGGATAGGCTGGCCGGCGGCCGCCATATTGGATAGGGTGGCCGCCATCTTGGATTGGCTGGCTGGTGGCCGCCATCTTGGATAGTCCAGCCGCCATCTTGGGTAAGCCAGCCGCCACCTTCCCTTGCCCGCTGTGGCCCAAGGGTTGCCACCTTCCTTGCCTTCCCACCACTGATTGGTGAGTGAGGAGGCAAAGCAGCAAGAACCACGGTTGCCTACCTTCTCCTGCCACCGCTGCCACCACTGCCAGCCCGGTCAAATGCCGACTCCTGGGCCAGCCGTCCTCGCTGCAGCAAGCTTGAAGACTGAGGAGGACCCCGGCGTAGCTGGCTAGCCAAGCTACACCGGGGTCATTTGCCTGCCTCATTTTTAGTAAGTTGCCTTTTTTATTGATGTATTTCTTTATTTATTTAGTATCTGTTTTGTTTTTATGATTAATAAAAACAAAAACAGATACTAAAAAAATAAATAAATACATAAATAAAAAAAGCAACTTATCAAAAATGAGGCAGGCAACTTCTGAGCGAGGACCTGGCCTTGGAAACTGACAAAAAACACTTGCTAAGCAACTGGCCACTGAGCGAGGACCTGGCCATTAAGCGAGGACCACTTAAATTTGGGTTGCCGGTCACATGGCCACCTGGCCACACCCACCCCAATCACATGACATTAATGAATTGATATTGCTATATAATGACTTAATCAGAAACAAATAATGTATAACAACAATGTAACAAGAAGTTGCCTGCCTCATTTTTGGTGAGTTGCTTTTTTATGTATTTATTTATTCTTTTAGTATCTGTTTTTGTTTTAATTAAAAACAAAACAGATACTGAAGAAATAAATACATAAATAAAAAAAGCAATTTACCAAAAATGAGGCAGGCAACTTGTTACGTTGTTGTTATACATTATCTGTTTCTGCTTAAATCAATATATAGCAACATCAATGTAACAAGAAGTTGCCTGCATTCATAAATGGAAAAAAAAATTAAATAAAAGTTTTTGGTTTTTTTTAAACACAAACATAAACAAAACAAACCATAAAACAAACCATCTTCAGTTACATACAGTGTGTCAGTTGTACAAATCACTTGTGCACAATCTCTGCAATCTTTCCCTTCCAATTTGCATTAATCCTTATATCATAAATTCACTATATTTATATTATCACTATTATTAATTACTTACTAGACTTTACTAATATTACATCATTTTATGCGAGCAAATCACCATTTTTACTTAATCTACTTTATAATGTTCATTTCATCATCACCAATCTATTCTATAACAATATATCCTTACTTTACCTTACCTCTGTAATTCTATTATATTATATTATAAAGTATTATAAAATATTTCTTAAATGAGAAAGCAAAGCAGAAACAAATATCAGTAAGTACAGCAGTGTGACAGAAAAATTATTTAAATTTCTTTGTGTTGGCTTATTTCTAATTTTGTTAATTATATCAACATGTTTATAATTATCAACCTTCTGTATTTAATTCATACATAGCAATGATCATTATCCACCTAATTTCTACCTCTTATCTCTATCCATTTCTGCACATTGTAATTTCTAATTTCATTTTCATTTTCGTTTTTCCACTGTTGTGCAAACATAATTCTAGCTGCTATTAACACGTGTAACATTAAATATGTTTTGTACTCCCTTTATTTATGTGGGTGCCAACAAAAATATTTTTTATCTCAAACTTTAAATCTATATTGCCTTACCATTTTTGCTAACCTTGACACAATCTTGAATATCTTTTTGAGTACTACCAGAAGCACAATACTGAACCTAATTCATGTATTCCAGTTTTTTAAACTGAGGAATAAATTTCAGAAAAAGAATTCAGTATTGCTCTGTAAATGTGCCTATCAATTCCATTCGTAATCTAACTTGTTAAATGATTTTGTACTATTATGGTTTTTTTGTACTATATATATATCTGCATAAGGCTGTAAAAAGCTTCAGTACATTTTTAAGCTGCATTCTAAAGAGGTTAGGTGACCAAACATGGCTTCCCCTGGCTTCTCTCTCTCTCTCTCTGCTATAGAGAGAGCATTCCATCCTGGACTGTTGGTCCAGGTAAGTAGTCTTGGCTTTTGGGCCATTGCTGGCACAAAATAACAAACTCCCTTGGTTTCTTAATAGTATTTCCATTTTAAGTGTTTCTTTTTCAATTAATGAATTGTAATTATGAAAATATCAGCCATTCTTTTATATACACAGTGCAGCATCTTTTTTATACACTGTCATTTTCAAATCTACTTTGAGTTCCCCATAGCTCCCTGTAGCTGCCCGAGCCTCGCCCAGCCCTCCCCGTAGCTCCTCGTAGCTTCCCGGGCCTCGCCTTGCCCCCCCAGGATTCCCCCAAGGCCTTGGAAACTGGCAAAAAACACTTGCTAAGCAACTGGCCACTAAGTGAGGACCTGGCCATTAAGCGAGGACCACTTAAATTTGGTTTGCCAGCCACATGGCCACCTGCCCTGCCCTCCCTAGGGTTCCCCAGGCCTTGGAAACTGACAAAAAACACTTGCTAAGCAACTGGCCACTGAGCGAGGACCTGGCCATTAAGCGAGGACCACTTAAATTTGGGTTGCCGGTCACATGGCCACCTGGCCACACCCACCCCAATCACATGACCATGTAGCCACCCCACCAAAGTCACATGACCACCAAGCCACACCCACAAATTAGGCCACACCCACAGAACCAGTTGTTAAGAAATTTGAATCCCACCCCTGCTTATCACCATATAACGTTAAACCTAATACAGCTTTCACACATAGTAAAACAAAAGGATGCAACTATATTATCATTTAGCACCATGCTGTTTAAATGAAGACTAAAACTCCTGGCTAAATATTATATGAGAATTCAGCCACATTCTTGTAACCCATAGTTGCCTGGTGTTTGATTAAATATTCATTTAATAAAGATATAAAGATCACTCTTGAATTGAATTGGACTCCTAGAGATTATATAACCATATAGTATATACTTGGCAGTATTATGGAGTTTGTTTGATTGGCAGGATGTTTTTCAGAATTTATTTATTTATTTATTTATTCATTCATTCATTCATTCATTCATTCATTTATTTGATTTGTCAATCACTTACAAGATAATAGGTATAAGTATATATACATAGTTATGAATACATGAAAGGCGTACATATAAGAAAAATAAAAGAAACAATAGGACAGGGACGGTAGGAACGTTGGTGCGCTTATGCACGCCCCCTACAGACCTCTTAGGAAAGGGGTGAGGTCAATAGTAGACAGTCCAAGGTTAAAGTTTTGGGGGTTTGGGGAAGAAACCAGAGTCAAGTAGAGTATTCCAGACATTGACCACTCTGTTGCTGAAGTCGTATTTCCTGCAATCAAGTTT